CATTTTGCTGGTAATTCTTGTGTAAGTCGAACTGGCAATGGTTTCTGCCTCGACCGTTGTAGCTGATTTAGGACCTTCCTTCTTTCTAGTGGACAAAAGAACTACATCAGCTGATTTTAGATTGCCATCCTTAATCTTATGTTTTTTGTTGGCTGACGAAGTTTGTTCCTTCTTCGCCGGCCTCTTTCTTTGCAATGATGCATCAGGCACACTCTCTGCGACAAGCTTTACCGATGGCTTTTTGGCGGATGTTGAATCTTTTTTTGCCTTCTTTCCAACTTGTTGGGGAATAGTAATGTTGTTAACGGGAAAGTCTCCAAGACGTTTCTTTGAATTGTTTTTGCTGCTGGTCTGCCTGGCCATACCCTCGATATCTCTGCAATCGACAGAATCTTTGTGCTTGGAGCTGCTCTGTTGTTTCGTCTGAGAGCTCGCTTTTTTCTTATTCGCAGAAATAAGGTTTTGTAGGTCCTTCTCTTTCCAACCTTGTGAGATCCACTTGCTTCCGACGTCCAAATGTTCCAACAACCAGTTCTTGTTCTTGTTTGAAATGCCGATGATGCCGGAGTCTCTTGCGCGACACTCTATTTGGAGCTGTGCCACTGTCATGTCTGCACTGATTCTAGCAACGGCCGAGTTGTTCTTTTTCGTGTCACTGTTTGATTTTGATGCCTTCAGAGCTGAAGTGGTTAGCTTTTGTTTCGCTTTCGAGGAGGAGATTCGGGCTCGTAATCTAGGTAGGGGACTTCTGCAGATATCCATGGAGTACCAACCTTCAAGTGCTCCAGGAACCAATCTTTTCTCTTTGTTGTGATACCCTTGATTGACGGATCTCGGGCTTTGCACTCGGTCTGAAGCTGTGCCACAGTCATGTCACCATTGATTCGGGGAATGGTAGCGAGCTGACTTTTGGTCGATAGTTTAGTTGGTGTTTTGGTCGTTTTAATCTCTGACTTTTTGCCCTTTATCAGCTTGGTTGCTTTTGTCGCACGGTTTCCGGCCGAGGATGGCAACCACCGTGCAAATCTGGATTCGTCTTGATTTGCAGCAATATACCATTGTTTGCATGTTGCATCCCACTTGGCACCTGCGCGCTTGGCATCGTCCTTTTCGTCGTAGCTACAAACCAAGTACTTGTTTTCGTTTGGATGCCACTTGTTGAATGCTTCGAGGTTCTGCGATGAAAGGACATACCAACAACCCGCGCTTGCATCCCACTTTGCACCGGCCTTTTTCGCACTTGCTTTCTCTTYGTAGGGRCAGTTGAAGAGGTACACCTTTTYAGGACCAGATGCCTTCCCCGGTGTTTTCATCGGTGATGGAGCCATTCTTTGGCCTTTTTGTTATCACGTGGGCATTGGCGAGGAGATGCTGATTTGATCTGTTCTGTTAGACGATAATCTCGCAGCTATCACTTCACTGAATGATGAATATGTAGATAGAGGAGATGTATTGAATGTTGATTACTAATGTTATGTTTCTAAGTTGGTAAACAAAAGAAAAGTGAGATGAATCTTATTCTTGGGTTTTCTTGATACTGTAATCTGGCTTTGTTCGCCTTTCTTTCTGGAAATATTTCCCAGGTTTGTTTTGTCCAGCGCCTAAAAAATGTCCGTTGGGCCCCTGTTTTTAATGATTTAATGATTCCCGTTAAACTAAAAAGTCTAAAAGGTCTACTTTAGATTTTTAGACCATCTAGACTAACGGGAATGACCCATTTTGAATCGTGCGCGCGCCAGTCATTCCTGGTCTGTCATTCGTACGCTCTCCAACATGTTCATCCTCGGAAAATCTTGAGAACAGAAAACGGAATTTGAAAATTGGCTACGGTGCACTACACTTCACTTCACTATCTTTAGTGCGGGTAGCCACTAACTTTAAAGAATTCTTACAGCCCTGGACTTACCAAGGAAACAAAAAGATATTTTTTTTAGTGTAGATTTGTACAAACCCCGGTATATTAATTTTTGCAAATAAATTAGTACCTTTACCAAAATACATTATTTCATTTTTAATTTAAGAAACATTCAGTCATTATTGTGACATTAAGTCATTCTACTATCAATAACCTAGTTTTTGCACTGTAGTAAGTTTTTTTGGCTGTCGCCATCCTTTTAAAAAAAAACAAAGGCGGCCGCAACCAATCGGCCGGGTAACGGAGGTACAACTTCAATCGTGGTAAAACACGTTACTGTAAAATCCTACCACACACCCCATCCGTAAAAACTTGATAAGTGCAGAGATGAAGTTTCGCTACAAGTAGAAGAATTCTGAAGCAAATTAATCAAACCACTCTGGTGGCTGCTTGTTGTATTTTGGCATACTGTATCCTTTATTGCAATAATCCTACAAGCAGAGCTTGATTCCAGCTAAGTGGTTGTAGTATTCTTCCTCCTCCATACTAGTACTACTATGGTATCATCGGTATCATCGTCGCTAGTAGTAGTAACGGTTGAAAATAGATYAGCAAACCAATCAAAAATGGAAAAAAGATGCCAAACAGCCAGGCCCTGTAGAGTTTTACATCTAAATAGGATACAGTACCAGAAAACCCTAACTCTATAGTATAGTAGTAGCAATGCTGCCTTGAAGYGACACGTGGTRAAGTGCATACTAATAGAAGAACCACTTAGTCGAATAAGAACCATGCTTGTCCTGAATGCTATATTATTTGTAGTGACATCATTCTTGATAGTAGCAATGATGATGGCCTCAAGGTTGTAACTTCTTGAAAGTCTTTCAGGAGGAGTATTCTGAACTCCACTGTTCTTGTACCAGTTGACTTTCCTCCTGGTGTTTGAATACTTTCTAAGTTTTAGGGAAATACTGTCCTCAACTACTGCTGGATTCCTATCAATTACCACTTGAAACCCTGGCCACTACTAGCTGTGTGAGGTTGCAGAATGGTTTGACACTCCTAGTAGTACTAATAGCCCTTTTACTCCAGAGCAACAAACCAAGAGCCTCCATCCAGAAAAAACTAATACCAGACCAACATCAGCCAGCACCAAAATCTTTCTATGGGCTACCTTTCCCAACATTGGATCTCCATAGATCTAGGTCTCCATTTATTTGAGCCCGTATACCTAAGTGGTGGCAGCATTACTAAGAACCTCCTACTCAATTGAATGTTTTTCATGTCCATACTTTGGGGAGCACAGCAGCAATAAATATCTATCATGTGGTGGTCACACTGGCACTAGGGTGGACTTGATTAGATATTGAAATATTGGGTCAGGGTGGTTTAGGGGGAGCACTCCCATAGGAGCACAACCGGGGATCAAGCAAGTAAGTATGTTTGGTGGAACCAGGAAGGAAGAGGGTCAGGGGGAGACAGAGAATTTTCTGGCATGTAATTCTGCTAGTACTACTAGTAGAGCTGCTTTGAAAGAAGAGCAAATTTTCTACTAGTAATATAATCTAGCATCCCTCCCAACCCCCCCCCCCCCTTTTTTTTTTGTCTGCATCTTCATTTATTCATCACTACTCTTGTTGCTACTGATATAATGGTCCACTACTGGCACTACTACCACTGCTGGCACTTGAAACTTCAATTGATAGAGAGAGTGGACTCACATGCATCAACATCATCAACATGATTTTTAGAGTGATCAATAATATGACTTAGCTTTTTCCAGACCTGGTAGTGCCCAGAAGAAAATAAATTTTCACTAATCTGTAAAAGTGACAACAAAGCTGAAAAGCTCATTGTCATCTATTCCAAGAATACCCTTCAAATAGAAAATCCTATTTCACACTGGTCTTTGTTGACACATCCTATTACAAAAACAGACAACAAAAGCAATAAGGATAATAAACAGGCCATTGCCTGCCTCATCCTGACTCTTCTTCAAACACCTCCCAAAACAAACTGATTTGATTCTTGAAATAATCCCAGCACTCCGGAGAAGTGATGGCTCTGACTAATAGTATCTAGTGCATCTTCTAGTTCACAAGAACAACAAGGTTAAATATGATATTGATTTTCTCATTCTTGATTGTAGGGAAAAATCAAACAGGAACCAAGGAAAATCAATCTGTAAGACTGTAGTCCCCTGAGAATTGTAATCATTGTTCAATGTTACCAAAAGTTGCAAACATTGACCTACTTTCAAAGAGAACAGCATGCATCATTGAAAAATGAATAACAATTCATTTGAAATTTATGGTTTGATTTGAGACAGACCCCAGCTATGTAACATGTCATTTTTTGGAAAATAATGCTAGGCTACTTGATTGCTGCCATGGATGTTATGGCAGCAGGTTACTGTGGTGGTGTCATCATCTACTACTATTAGTAGAGATAGTAGTTGGATTTGGATTTTCTGGGAACCAACTTCTCAAAATTGATACAAAGAGGGAAGCAAGCACACAGCTAGTAGTATAATTGCATAGAATTTTTCCACTCCGCATCTTGAAGAAAGGAGGACTTGACTACAAATGTTTGATATATTTTTGAGCATATCACAACTATTGGCACTGCTAATACTAGTAGTAGAGAGGAGGCAAGGGGACAAGAAAGGCAAAAAGACAAATAAAGATAGATTTCAGGGAGGGTAATGTCACAATCAAAGTGCTGGCGGGTGGGCACCTGGAGACAGAGAGATAGAGGGGGATTACAAAGGATCAGAAACTAGACAAAGAGGTACAATTTTTACCTGCTTGATAGGGGGGTAGATTCAGACAACAAATGTGTAAGGTGTTTTAGATGGTTATTGTAAATAGCTATTGCATACTAGTAATAACATGTTTAGTGACTTTGAGAATCACTGAAAGTATACTACTCCACTTGTGTTTGGACAGTCACAAAAATTTGTGATTGGAATAAACCTGATAGTACTGGTAATGTGATGACATTTTTGCAAAGGACGTTTTTGAAAAGACACAAATATTATTGGTGGGGCAAGAAGGTGCTGTGAAAGGATCTTCTACCAAAATTTCATTCTTATTTTTGTGAGCTATGATGATGGGGACCCAGAAATCAAGGATTTGATTACATGGACATTGATTGAACTTCAACAGGCACCACAAGTGTCTCACAGACATCTGAGGATGGCAGCAAAAGCCAGCAGTGCAATGTCAAGCTGCATATGACCAGGTCACATACCTAAGAATAGGAGCAGCTCCCTGATTTGGAAGAGGCACACCTTTAGACTAGTAGCTGCTTTCAATCTGTAAGAGTGTTTAGCACTTTAGTAGTACTAAGGAGAGTACTTTGGAAACATGATGGATACCAAGAATTACTACTAGGTCCTATTGTAATAATGAAGTCACATTACCAATGTATCATAWMATGTTACGAGTGCTCACACTTTTTGCAGTCCCAAAGTATCTTATGTGTTTGTTACACCACATACTGTCAAATTTAATCTAATAGCTTGCATCCTGTTCCTACATTCTGGTTTCTACGTTTTCTCCCCTTCCCAATCATTTGTGGCAGCTGCTGGCCTTCTTTCACGTCATCTCYATTTTTAAGACGAAATATGAAACATAAGGTCTATCGTACAAATGCGTGCATGCTCAGATTTTTKATTAATAATTACATTTACTTTTTCTAGTCTCCCTTCCATTGCAAAACGATCACTGGGACAGGACAACGTTTTCCCTCGTCCACGGCTTCTGGATGAAAGCAGGTGAGCTCGACCTTGTCGCTAATAGAGGGTAGCGTTCTGATGATCTCTGTAGCTTGGGTGGTGAATTTTTCGAGGCTAGTAGCGGAACTGCTCAGAAAATGGGGTAGGACCATATATTGTCGTTTTTGGACGTCCTTGGCCTGTGCCTTGGACGCTGCACCTCCGGTGCTACCTGTACTCTCTAAAAACTGCGAGGTTTGCATCCCGAGATTCGTGAAGACAAACTCATAGGCTTCGTCTACGTAGGTGGCATCGCTGACGGTAAACGCGCACTGCGTAATTTCGAAGCTAGCATCGTTCTTGTTGATCCAGTTTTGAGCCACCATCAAAGGGGTGACCGAGGAAAAGGTCTCGATGTGACTTCCAATGGACTCGTAAAAGTCGCCTTCTTCGGTCCTGTCGCTATCTAGACTCGATTTGGAAAAAAGAGCTTCAAGTTTGTTGACAACATCGGCATCGATTTTATCATCGGCTGCACCAGAAGAGCTTTCGCCTTCTTCGCTTTCAACATCTATCTCGTCAATCGACTTTGGCGAGACAGGGCCCGATGGCGGCGGAGGGGCAAATTCGGGGGGAGCCATGCTTCGAACCTCAATGACTACCGATGGGTAAGGGGATCGTCGTGCAAGAATCCGTTGTCTCTTGTATTCCTTCAAATTCAAGTCCACTTCTCCTTCCTCTTCTTCCTCTTGCATCTCTTTGAGTTCTTGCTGAGGAGTCTTTTTCCCGTACTCTGGGTGCAAATGGGCGCAGTTCACGGAAACCCTATCATACGATGGGTGTTGTGGGGTTGGAAACGAACGAGAACGAAATGTGAGTGTACGACTCCTTTCAGCGGAGTAAATACCGCGTCCCTTCCGTACACTGTTTTGCATCATTACACACGGTCAATCTCTCCCAATTCATAGCCACAAAAATTTAAAAACTTACACCCAATCCCGATCCTCAGCTTCTCCGTACATCTGTTCGTCCAGTTTTTCCAAAGAATGATCCGTCACCAAATCCCGTGCAGCTTTTCGAGCCGCGTTGACAGCGTTGATGACTGCGTCAAACACATGAAAGCTTTGATTTAGTTCCTCGTTAGCGGGAATTACCAAAACTTGCGTTTGTCGCAGAGTAATACGGTTGTGCTTGTCTTCTGTGGTAGACAGTTTGTGCGAAAAATGATGATACGTGTGCAAAATATGTATTGTGGTCACCAGTTCAAAATAAAATCGGCATTTCAATGAATCGGTTGAAGGAAAATAAAAAAGAATGAAGTACCAAACGAATGATGAGATACGAATATGTTTACACGTAAAGAAAGCCTTTAGAATATCGAATGCAACTCGGATGGAAAGTAAACATCAATTCATTCCGACGCATCAGTGACGACCGATAATATTCCTATTATCCCTTTGGAAAAAAAAAACCGGGGCGACACACTCACCTCCCTTTTCGTCAATAAGCGCCTCCTGATCTTGTGCGTGTGATTCTCCTAATTGCCGGGCCTCCTTGACTTTTCGAAAAATATTGGCTAGGATCATCGCMGGGTCATTGGAAGTCTCGCAGACATAGCTCACTTCCTTTCGACTCAGTGGGTTRGAGTTTCCCGTTTGGGCGTCGGCCAGGGTGTTGGCGATCCATTTTTCCGTGTTCGATAGGATTGCCCAAACATTATCATTAGGCTGCGGGTCTCGCTGGATGTCGTAATGGAGTCGTGTCGACAACGACGGCGTTTTCACGCCCGAAAGAGGAACGAACCCGTCAACGAAAGAAGTGTCAGCTACCGTTGCGAAGATGCATGCTGCTAAGACAAAAGAACCCGAAAATTTCATGACGGCTTKCTCGGTTTTGAAATTTATTTCGTCGGTTGTTCCAGATGTCGTYGTTTGGTGCTGTTGGAATTGTAGAAAATGTGTCTCGACAGACGATACAATATTTTTTGTTTCGTATCAGAATCCATCGGTATGAAATGGAGGAAGAACATCTATCCGATATCAGCATTTCTTGTTGTGAAGTATTGTGAAGTCCAGAATTTCAAAATTTCTACGAAGTTCTGAAACGCGACTCTAACAGCAGGAATTCCATCTGTTTCGCTTCTCGATTTTCATTCGTTCCTTACTGACAACCAGTGATGGCCTGTTTTTAGTAACCCGACGGGCGCTCACGACTCACTGAGTTGTGGAAACCAATGCCTGAATCGAGGAAGAGAAAGAATTGGTGATTGGCGAAGGTCTATCTTGTCCATACTGCAATTAGATCTTACGTGCTTCCCTGTGATAGGCTTTTTCCAATCGGTATCTATGACTGTTAATTGCGTCATATTCTTCTCTTCAACTTAGCATTCGAAGAGCAAAGACGACATCATATGGTCATCATAGTAACTGTGCGCGTACATGCCCCATACAAGTACGACGGTTCGATACCACAGCAATCCACCGAGCTGATCATTTTTTTACCGTACGTATGATTGAACAACTCTACAATACTTAAAATTTCATTATTATTCTCATACTCGTATGTATCGTATGTACGAATAGTATATTGAATGAACTTGTACTCCATATTTCATATTTCCCCCTTTTTTGTTTGACCCGCAACCGTGACTTTTTAGCCTCACACGTGCGAGTGATTGAAATTACTTTTACTCTACAATAGTACGTACATACTGTACTACTGTACCGTGCCGTACTATGTTCTGTTGCGTGTTGCGCTAGTACCGTACGTACATACCGTATCGTACCGTACGGTATCCTATCCTATCGTACTGTTTTGCWATGTCACAACGGAACGAGAACGTACCAAGCACGGTACGTACCGTACGTACGATTCTGTACGCATCAAACCGATGATCCAGAAATCCAGAAAACGAAATTGAAACAGTCGCGTCGGTAAGCTAGCAAGTCCATTGGTAACAATCGCAAAAAATAAAAAATAGTAGTAGCTATCAAACACTTGATTCCGATCATGCTCGCTCACCTTTCACGGGTCGTTCTGATGGTCCGTTCGGGAGAGGGGCTGACCAAAGCCTTGGAATTTTACACGGCGGGGCTCGGCCTAAGTGCGGTTCGTGTGACGGACGAGTGGGCGGATCTCAGAACGACGCCGCCAGCCAGTCCGCGTCCCGGCTCCGATGTTGCAACCGCACCGCCACTGAGCATTTGCCTCCGCGCGGTTACCTCCGAGGCCCAGGTCACGACGGGCTATTCTCCCCTGTTGCAATTCCAGGTCGAAAACATGGACCAGGTGATCGCCAAGTGCGTTCAGCTCGGCGGGAACCTCGACGGTCCGATTCAATACCCGGCCCATGGAAAGATTGCGGCCCTCCGCTCTCCCGACGGACACATGCTCGGCATCTACGAACCGGCGAAGGAGTAGCGCCGCACAAGAACGCACCACACGCCAGTATGTGCACTGGAGCGGAACACGTCTTGTGCCGCCAAATGGGGCGCGCTGTGCGAACACCACCGCGATGCGTTCTGTGCCCGTGCGACTCAAGCTTTTTTCCAACCGATAGTAGGGGAGAGAACGACGGATATGGCGCCATTCAAAAAGAAGAAACGGTGCATGATGCATCGCACGCTGCGACACGGCATGGCCACCATTGACGACAACTTGCAMGGTTGTCCCGATTTGTACGAAGGGAAAAGTTGATAACCCCAGTACCATATGCATCACTGAACAGTGGTATTTTTCCAAATATCTCTCCCATTTTCGAATCATTACTTCATCTCGAAAAAAAAAGAGAATGAAGAATGAAAACAATTCAAACCAATCGATTAACCATGCCTCCAAAGTTATCGAAAAAGAAGGGTTCAAGAAAAACACCAATGGGAATCCTCGACTTGACTGGGCCAATTTTTGCAACGACTTAAACTGTACAAGCCACTCAACAACTCGACGAGAAATTTTTAAGAGTGATGAAAGCAGTCGAAGAGGCAGAAGTTCCAAAAGGACGATTGCGGCCTTTCTTGCCTCATCGTCAAATCCTTAGCTCTGGAGTTTGMGGAGAAAGTTGGTGAGACAACTTGACACAATGGTACGAAGTTTGAAGCACCATAATGTTGGATATGGAAGAATTTTTAAAGTTGAAGGACACAGCACTTCATGATGAGTCAAAAGAGAGGATGAAAGTAGCCTTGAAGTTGCTCTAGCGAAGACCAAAATGAACAAGTCCTTTATCACTTGAAAAGYTCATCAGAGAGGTATATGGTGCACATGCAAAATACAAAGATTCAGATGAYTTCACATTTACGCTTTGGAAAGAATATGAGTAATGWTTGAGGAACAAACGCATCGGGATCCAGCACTTAYTGGCCAGCTTTTCGATCAGTGGTATTGTTGCATTAATATTAGCGGTCATACATTTCAGATAACTTTATGGTCATCTTTTCTTCGTTGTTGTTCTTCTTGTAGTTTATGAACAATAATGTAATATGTAATACTGTATTCATGTTTGTTGGACGAGAATCGTGTTGGCAGTCACAGGGGGTTGGTCTCAAAAGGCACGGGAGAAGGAAATCAAAGAAGTTTTGAAACGTCCCTTCCAAACGCATTGTTTTCGATGTTGTACGTTGAGGATTGGTGCAAGAGAAGAGGAAGAGGTCTATACAA